GGAAGGGCCCTTCTCAGCAGGGAATGGCACAATTGGGGGCCTAGTGTCCATCCTGTAAAATAATGTTTAGGCAAGAGGGGAGGGGAGCCATCCGCTCCCACTATGGAAGCCTGTCCCTCCCACAGGCCTGTGTGTGCTCTGGGCTGGACCTAGCGGCAGCCTTCCCTGTCTTAACCTCTGGTTTTATGAGTCGAGATGGCTGAGCTGATGAATGCGAACAGATGCCTCCACAAGAGGTATGGCCGGTGGGTGGCCACCACGTGCAAACGGCGACATAGCTCATCCCCCAGCACCTCCCAGACAAGTACTTTGCCACCTGTACCAGGAAACCATATCCCTCCCTCTTCCTCACCTCTACTGGCAAATGGCATCCCAAAGGAGAGCGCCCACAGAAAGCACTCGGCAGAAAGCACCTTCATGGGCCCTCTGGTCCTGTGCTCTGCTAACGGGGGAGGGGTTGGGGTACAGAGGGAGCCCCTGGAGCGCTCTGTCAACCCCCTCCCCATGGGAAAGCAGAAGCAGCATGGTTCCTGTTGTAGAAGGAGCCCCACCCCTCCTCCCCATCCCTAAGGTGCCTCTCATCATGCTTTTACCCATGTGAGCAAACCAGGAAGCCCATGGGTCAAGCAGCATGCTGCCTCTAGTGAGGAGAGATGTCCAGGAAATGACGGGGCTCTCTGCAAGAGGACAGAGCAGAACACCTGGCAGTGGGGATCTACATCTTGGAAGTCTGCCCTCAAAGTAAAATTCCACCTGCTCACCAGGCCCCACACACCGGCTCTGGCGGCTCCCTGCCTGGATGGCTGTGGGCTGCCCTGTGCCTCCTTGCATCACTACACTCCGTACACCCAAAAGCTGGTACACCCCCACCCCGGGGCCTTTGGGCTGGAATGCGCTTACCCCATAGCTACAGGGCTGGCTCCCTTCCTTCATTCCATATATCCAGGTGTGCCCGCTCAAAAAGGATCTGCCTGGCCCTCTCTCTTCGAAGTCACCCAGGCCCCATTCCCAAGCACTCGCTTGCCTGTCGCCCTGTTGTATTTTATCGCTCATCTGAAACTTGGTGCTTTGTGAGCTTGTTGTTATCTGTCTCTATCAAACTAGAATGTAGATACCATGAGGGCAAAGATCTAGTCTAACTTGCTCAACATCCTGCCTGCAAAACCTAAAAGAGTGTTTGGCACTCAGTCAATATTTGTTGGATGACTGAATAAATGAGTAGACTTAATAGCAGTCTTCTCATACTTGGAAGACTGTCGTGTAGAAAGATAAATTCTCTATTCACCCAGTGAACATTCACCGGGTGACTATACCTCCACTTGTTTATAAATAATTCCTGGGAAACGTGCATGTCAGGCACTGAGCATCACAGGCAGAAGTAGACCTGTCACAGTAGCGTTGTCAAGGCCCACGCAGGGAGCTGTGGCGAGAGACAGGAGAGTCAATAATAGGACAGCAAGAGGGTGTCATGTAGTGAGTGGATGGACTCTAGGCTTTAGGCCGGTGCCATTCTGTGTGTGTGTGGGGGGGCAGGGGGGGGCGCCAGGGAGAAGCTGGCTTTAGGATGTTGAACTGCGGAACATCCAAGCAGAGTGTCGACTGTGAGAGATCCCACTTAGTCAAGGAGGGAGAAGGTATAAGCCAAATCAAAGGCCCTACAATTAGCCACAGCACTGCAACTAGGTTTTGGGTCCACTGGTTAGAGGGATTAGGAGAGGAGCAGCGTAATAAGAAAGAGGAGAGATGGAATCATCTCCCACAGGAAAGCGAGAAAGGGACCAGACCTCAACCTGGGGTGCCAAGTCTTGAGGGCAACTTATCAGCACAAAGCAGCAGGCTGACAGAAAGGTCTTTGGGGCCAGCCCCAGCCCCAGCTATGTCAATCCCCCTCCCCAGAAGACTGCACTACAGAGGACACCACTGAAGATACAGCCCGGGGACAGTGGCGTCTGCCCAGACCACACGGGAGCAAACTAAAAGGAGAGAGAGATTGGACTGTATTCTGGCCCAACAAGCCTTGAGGATGACATCCCTGCTCGGTGCAGCCAGTGCACAGAGAGGATTGTGGGGCTGTCCTCACCATGAGACACAGCGCCCCCTCACTGACCCACAGGGTTACAGGGGGACAGCACTAGAGACACAGTTCGGGTATTTTGCTCAGTCTGACACCCCCCCTCACACACACACACACACCAGAGTGAAACACAAAGACAGCACAACAGAGTAGCAAGGGGAGCAAAGCAATGAAGTCCCCGAGGGATCCCAAGAATAGATTTCGGAATCAGTGGGCGGGGCATGACATTTCACCAGATCTGATTGGAAAACAACCAGAAGAGTCCGCAGACAGACCTGGAAGTATTTATAGGCTTTTTTCCCCCTCATGTCTAGCCATATCAGAAAGGCAGGACAACCAATCCCGAGGAGAAAATGATGGGGCCGACAGCCTAGGGGGGACATGGGAAAGGAGGAGGTGTGAGAAAGGCGAGGGCGGGGGACAATAAACCAGGGACAAGGGAACAACAATAGATCTAAAATCAATGGAGAGGAGGGCATAGAATGCGTGGTGGGGTTTGATCAAGTGCAACGTAGCCAAGAGAAAGTACTGAATGTCAAATGAGGGTCAAACATGATAGTGGGTCAGGAGGAAAGTAAAAAGAAATAGAGGAAAGAACTAGTTGGCAAAAGACATTTATAGATGTACAAGTATAGGCATGCACAGATGTAAATAAATATATTAATAGGTGTATAAGTCTATACATAAATTTAGATGTTAAGAATTAAGGTAGCAGACTGACATTGGGTCTCTACTCAATTACTCCTGCAATGCAAGAACACTTTGTTCTAATAGTCTGGGGTTCTGTGATGTTCACCTGCTCGACATGATTGCTGAAGTCAAAATGGGTGTATAAGCAAACGTGGTGAAGAAACATGACGGTGCCTGACTATTAAAAGATACAGCATCTGGGGTCTTAAAGACTTGAAGTTAAACAAGCAGCCATCTAGGAGAGAAGCAACAAGCCCACATGGAAGAATCACACCAGCCTGTGTGATCATGAGGTGTTGACGAGATCAGGCATCAGAAGGCCCCCAAACAAACAAATATATTGATGCAAATGACAGGGGTCAGAGAGGAGACCCAAACCCCATCTGTAGAAAATTGGACATTCCCTCACAGAAGGATCACAAGGAAGGAACGAGTCAGCCAGAGTGCAGCATAGCACTGATTGAATATACAACATTCCTCTAGTCCTTTTATACTTCCCCCCTCCCCTCCCCTCCCACCCCGCCCCCACCCTCCTCCCATCCCCCCACTGCCATGCCCCCTGTTCTACCTTACAAATCCAGCTAGAGCAGAGCACGTACACTGGTGCAGATAAGAGCCCTCGACACACGGAATCCAGGATAGACAAATTCCTCAGGAACTGCAATGGGAGTAGGGGGACGGTGGGGGGAGAAGGGGGAAAAACGGGGAACTGACTATAATGATTGATGTATAACCCTCCACCCTCACCCCAGGGGGACGAACAATAGAAATGTGGGCGAAGGGAGACAGTGGATGGTATAAGATATGAAAATAATAGTAATTTATAATTTATCAGGGGTCCATGAGGGTGGAAAGGTATAGGAGGAGAGAGGGGAAAAAATGAGGAGCTGATACCAAGGGCTCAAGTAGAAAGAAATATTTTGAAAACTATGATGGCAACACATGTACAAATGTGTTTGATACAATTGATGTACACATTGTTATAAGAGCTGTAAGAGCCCCCCATAAAATGATTTCTTAAATGACTTATTAATAATAAAAGGAAGGCATCACCCCCACCCCACTTAGGAACTTACGTCTCTGGCTAGCCAAGTGGTTCACTCACTGTTAATCCAAAGAGTCTTCTTGGGAGACTTGGTGATCTTTCTGAAAAGCCGGCCATTGAAAATCCTAGGGAGCAGAGCACTTCCCTGCCTCGTGTGGCGTCGCCAGGAGTCAGGGTTGCCACAGAGCAACTCAAGATTCTTGTTTTGTTTTTCGGCTACAACCCTGAGGATGGTGGTCACATAGATCAGGCAGATGCCCCTGCAGAGGCTGCTGTCCTCCCTCTGGATGGTACGCTCACAGACCGATCCGAGAGAAGAGTGTCCAGGGGTTCTGCTTTCCCAGCATGACCAAGTGTGCACCCTACCTGAGCTGGAGAAAGCCAAGGGCACTGCACCCTGTGCTTCAGCGATGAGTAGAATCTCAGTGCACCTGAGTGTGTGGAGTCCGGATCTTACCTACTCTGAGTCTCCACAATTTAAAGAAGAGACTTCCCTGGGCCATTCCCTCTCCCTTCTATTGGGGTTCGTGAGCTGGTCCCAGGTCAGAAAGCATGTCTGACTATCTTCTAGGTCTGCCGCCCCAAACTAGCTTTTCCTTCCCACCATCGTGGCTGATGGCTGCTTTTCAGCTCGCTTTCCTAAGTCACCATCAAAGGGTCTTTGCCCTGTGGCCGGTCCCTCTTTCCCCACCGTTGCTATGAAGATAAGGAGGCAGACCCAGCCTTTACCCAGAAATACCCCACACAGACGGATTCCAGGATTGGCCCCGTTTCCTGCCTGAAAGCCACAAGCCTCACGACCCACCAGAGACAGTGTTGAGGCCCGGTGTTTCTGTTTGGCCCCTCTGCCATGCATTTCTGATCATTCAAGAAATACCTTAGATAGAAGGTTCTCGAGAAAAAGCATGGAGCACCCGTGTGTGCTGGGGACTGTGCTGCGAGGTTGTGCGTTCTCTCCTTGAATCCTCACCAGACCCATTCAAGTGGGTGCTGCCTCATAATGATTTTGCAGATGAATAAATAGTCTCAGAGAAGTTACGTAACTTGACCAAAAAATCACACAGCAAAGGAATAGAAGAGTCAGAATTTCAATCGAGGTCTGGATGACAGCAGTCCCCAGGAATGAAAATCGCCCTGGTTTAAGATGAAAACTTGTCTCATCCTTCTTTCCCTCCCCATGCCTGTTTGTAGTCCCAGGAGGAAGTCTGTGATTTGCTTCACGCTGCGCCTTTCCAGAACATCCTGCCCAGAGTCTACATCAAAGGTAAGAGACCACTACCAGCTGGGGACGGAGCTGGCCGCATCTGAACTGCCCGCTCGGCTCTCACCCCAGGACACTCGCTCTGCACTGGGAGAGGAAGTCGGTTCGCCCTCCGGGCAGCTACCGCACCTTCCCGGAGCACAGAATCTAAAAGGATGCGCCAGGCCTTGCCCCTTCCACATCATCCCTGGAGTGTTGCTGTCTGTCCTGGGTGTGTTCTTCACAGGGAATAAAGACCTGTCTCCAGGTCTTAGGAGCACTGCTCTCCCCTGGCCCTCCTTACCCTCAGTGGGCCTGACATCTCATATTCTGCTTTGCTGCTTCCCTTGCAGAGGGAGAGCGCCTGGAGGTCCGGATGAAACGCCTGGAAGCCAAGTACGCCCCGCTCCACCTGGTCCCTCTGATAGAGCGCCTGGGGACCCCTCAGGTATCAACTCTCAAGGGCAAAGTGTACTTTAAAGGATGAGCACTTGGTCTCACTGCCACCACCACCGCCCCACACCCACCTCACGAGTGAGGAAACTGAGGCCCAGAGAGGGAAAGAGAGTGGCCAGCCCCCCAGAGCCTGCTAGTGGCAGGGCCAAGCCAGAAATGAGGTCTGCTGGCTCTCACGCTTGAGTTCTTTCTTTCACACCCTGTATCGTGTTTCTTGCCAAGGAAGGACTTGAATACGTAGCTGTTACCCAGCCCCTGCTGGGTGTCGAGAATTCTGCTGTGCTATCTCAGAATTAAAACCCCACATGCCCTGTGCACCAGAAGCTTGATTCTGGCTTCCGTATAAGAGAAACCCTTGACAATGGGAGACGCTGACTGTAGTATTTGTGAATGCAAACAGTAGGAGCCTCTTAAATGCCCACCAGTAACGGGTTGGCTAAGGAAAATGTGAACTACTTCAGGAGTCCCCCGATGGCCAATGGCTGGGCGCTTGGCTGCTAACCAAAAGGTTAGAAGTTCACACCTACTCTGAGGCACCTCGCAAGAAAGGCCTGGTGATCTAAATCCAAAAGAAGGGTCACAAGGAAGAGAAGAGTGAGTCAGAGTGCAGTGTAGCACTGATGAAACATACAACTTTCCTCTAGTTCTTTAATGCTTCCTCCCCCCACTATCATGACCCCAATTCTATCTTACAAATCCAGCTAGTCCAGAGCATGTACACTGATACAGGTAAGAGCTCCCAACACAGGGAATCCAGGACAGATAAACCCCTCAGGACCAATATTGAAAGTAGCCATACCTGGAGGGGAAGGGGATGGTGGAGGGAGAAAGGGGGAAGTGATCACAATGATTGACATATAACTCCCTCCCAGGGGGATGGACAACAGAAAAGTGGGTGAAGGGAGACAGCAGTGTAAGACATGAAAAAAAAATTAATAAACCAAGGATTCATAAGGGAGGGAGGGTGGGGGAGGGGTGAAGTGAGCAGATACTAAGGGCTCAAGTAGAAAGAAAATGTTTTGAGACTGATGATGGCAACAAATGTATAAATGTGCTTGACACAATGGATGGATGGATGGATTGTGATAAGAATTGTACAAGCCCCCAAGAAAATGATTTAAAAAACTTTAAAAAGACCGCAGCCACTGAAAACCCTGTGAAATGTAGTTAAACTCTGAGACACAAGGGGTCACCTTGAGTCAGAGTTGATTCAAAGGGAACTTTTTGGGCTTTTATAGATCTACAAGCTGAATACTTGCTGTGTAATAATGACATGGAAAACGTAGATCTATCACACTGATGTAAATAAAACCTCAAACCAAGCTCACTGCCCTTGAGTTGGTGCCGACTCAGAGTGACCCCATAGGGAAGGGCAGAGCTGCCCCTGTGGGTTTCCCAGACTGTAATCCGTTTAGGGGGTAGAAGGCTCCAGCTTTCTCCTGCGCAGCAGCTGGTAGTATCGAACTGCTGACCTTACGGAACACAGCCTAATGCATAACCACTCCACCACTAGGACTCCTACAGATGTGAACAGTAGTGAAAACATGGTTGAATTAATTAAGCAAGTCACACGGCAGTTCTTGCATGATGATCCCATGTGTTTTTTTAAAAGTACACCCAATAAAACCATGTTGATAAAACTGCTTTTCTGAAATACTCTGAAAAGGGGGGAGGTTGGTGTGGCCAAGACATAGGAGGCCCTGGCGAATGTGTGCCAGGGTAAAAGGTGACAACAGTCACCACTGTGACATGCACAGTCCTGCCATAGTGCTAATGAAACCCAGTTAAAACCCCCCTGGGCTACACAGCTCTGTCCCAGTGGTGGCCACCTCTCAGAGGAGGTGAGGGACATGGAGGCAGGGGCGAGGCCACCAGGGAAGACTTCCTCCATCCCTCTGTTATTCTTGGAGTGTTAAAGCCAAATGGCTCACATACTGATCTAGAAATAAATTCTTGCTTCAAAGAACTGTACCAGGCGCTGTGAATGAATGAGGGAGACGGGGCTTCTGTGAAGAGAGGGAAGTCGTGAGAAGGATATGCTTTCTCCTCAAATGGATTTAAGCAAGGGGAGCTCAAGGGGAGAGAGAAATGCGGTCCCATCATAAGACATGTCAGGGCCACCTGTCCTGCCCAATCCAGCTTTTAAAAAGGCTTAGGTTCGTGGCAGTTTGAATCCACCCTGTGGTGCCTCAGAAGAAAGACCTGACCATCGATCCATTTCCAAATGATCGCAGCCATCACAAAGCCTCTGGAACACAGTTCTGCTCCTGACGCACGTGGGCTCACCGTGAGCTAGAGAGTCTATGCCGTGCCAGCTGGGGAAGCTCTAGGAACTGGGGATACAGCCATGAAGACCACAGACCAAGAACAAAAGAGGGTCTGATCCCCCTCTTGAATTCAGATCCCGGCAGCTCTCTGCTGTTCTCATGGCCGCATACCAGCAGGAAGGACCCACATCTGGGGTCATGGGCAAGAGATAGACTCTGCCCTCCCACAGCATGGCAGGTATTTAGAGCACATTGCAGAGCTCCATCTGACCCAGTGTCACCTGCTGCATGAGGCCACCCAGCCGGGTCCTCGGCCTGCCACCAACGGCCTACTAAGCTCAGTGATTAGACACTAAGGGGTGTGTGGGCGCTTATGCTGTGGAGTAAGTAGCTTTAAGACCATCCAACATGATTTCCTTTTAGGGAGAAATCCCCCAAGTCAGTGCTCTGCCCTTCCACTGGTGTCATCTCACAAGAATCTGGCCGCCAGCAGCCAGGGTTGGCCTGACTGAGCAGTCTGCGAATTCTTTCTATGTTGCAGTGAACACCATTTCCTCGGGACTGATAGAAATATCAATTCATCACTCAGTACTGAACAAACGAAGTCCCAGACATTGTAAGGAGGAGGAAATGCCAGTTTTATAAATCTCTCAAGAAATAAACCAAAACTTACCAGCCAAAGAAAAAATATCTGCCCCCAAGCTTGGCTGGGATTCAGGGAAATCATAGACAGGTTGGTCAGGATGTACCAGGAGCTCTTGGCTACATATCCTAAGCTCAGAGGTTTGAACAGAACCAGACTGCTTGTGCTTGGTTCTAGGACAGCGTGAGGCATCTGGGTCTCCACCAGTGCCATCAGGGAAGGACATTCTCAAGCAGTCACTCAAACTCCCTGCCACCAAGGAGATTCTGCTCCCAGCAGCCCAACACACAGGCTGAGGCTGTAGATCTTGACAAAAGTAGCAAGACTTCTCTTTCTCCCTCAGAGCAGCTGGTGGTTTAGAACTGCTGGCCTTGCCATTAGCAGCCCAACACATAACCACTTAATATGCCCAGCGGGGCATCTTAAGGACATTCTAGTGGGCCCTAGTCCCAACTCCTGTCCTGAACTATGGCATAATCTAGGGCAAGCCATTTAATGTCTCAGTCTTTATCATTCCATCTATAAAACAGGACAATTATGGTAATGTGTATATAACAAAGCACCTGCCATTTCAGAGTTTACAGCATGTACCACTCGCAGCCGCTGTGGTCACCGTGTAGTAGCGCTATCACAGATGCCCCCTTGTCAGCATCCAGAACTGAAGCTCATTTCCCTGAAGCAACAGCTCTCTCCCTTCCTCCTTCACAGCCCCAGAAACACACACCTTTGGGTGTCTGTGCTCTTAACCTGGAAAGAGTCCTGGTGGACAGAGAGGCTTACATGTTGGGCTGCTGGCGTTAAGGCCTGCAGTTTGAACCTACCAGCCACTCCACAGAAGAAAGAGGAGGTTTTCTGCTCTTGTAGAGATGTACAGCTTTGAAATCCACAAGGCTGTTCTTCTCGGTTCCATAGGGCTGATATGAATTGGAATCTACATAGTGGCAGGGAGTAGCATTTTTTGAGTTTATACACTTACTTTAGTAAGTAGCATTTTTTGAGTTTATACACTTACTTTTTCAAGATATTTCTACTCTTGGGATCCTGAAAGTATTTCTTCTCTTATGACTGATGTGCTTGTCACTCAGAGTCATGATGTTTCCAAGGATCTTCCACGTGGCACAGACCTCTCGATGGCTGCATAATAGTCTTTGTATGTACAGCCCACATTTTGCTCATCCATGTATCTGTCAATGGATGGGCAGCTGTGCAGTTTCCACCTTTATGAACTCCCCCAAATGATCAAGAAATAGAAGTTAAAGGTTTTTCAAAGAAGTATGTAAATGAGGACTACTGAGATATTTTCCTTCTCTAAGGATATTAAATGTAATCAAGATAGAGGGAGGGTAAAAAAGAGGAGCTGATACCAAAGGTTCAAGTAGAAAGAAAATATTTGGGAAATGATAATGGCAACATTATGTATAAATGTGCTTGATACAGTTGACATATGGATTGTTGTAAGATCCCCCAATAAAACGATTTATTAAAATAAAAAAATCAAGATAGGCAATGCAGAAATTCAGTTAGGCATGGCTATACAAGTAATTTCTTTGGTCCCTTGTTATTTCAGAAAAGTGACCCTCCACTTAGTGGGCTAGAAAAGACGTGAATAAAGCTTAGGGTTTACACACACACACACACACACACACACACACACACAGTTGTCAGCTGTACCACATTTAAAATTGCATGCATTTGTATCCGATGCTGCACTATTTGGATCTGAAGTGATATACAGTGGGTTACTCGTTGAGCTGCTCATGTAGGGTTAGCGGTTCGAGACCACCAGCTGCTGTGCAGGAGGAAGATAGGACTGTCTAGCTCTAGTCAGAGCCAACTCAAGGGGAATGCGTTTGGTTTCGAGTTTGGGGTCCATATAACAAAAGTAAAAGTAGTAGATTGATTTTCATTAATCTTGTCTGGGGTTAGGCACAAGCACCTCTTGTGATTTCATTTTCTATAAGTCAATGTGAAAACATGTATGTTGATAAAGAATGTTATTGTCAGAGTTGGAGTTTGTTGAACCCAAGAGACGTTCCTCGTCGCCTTCAAGTCTGTTCCAAGTCATCCTCTCACTGCCAGCAAGTCAATGCCGACTCCGAGTGGCC